TTGAGTGGCGGACAGTAATAATGTACTGATCGACCTTCCCAAACCGGCTCAACAGCCAACAGACCGATACCGCACGTAAAAACTGACCTCTCCCAAGTGTATTTCCTCCTCCAGACTGAGCAAAACACCATTTGGCCTGAGCCATGACAAAGCCAGTTTCAGCTGTGGCTGTGCAATCCTGAGCACGCCCCTGAACAAGTAAGTGCAACCTCGACAGGTTGACTTTAAGCTGTATATTCTAGTAATTTTTATAGTACGCACCTCGTGATATAACGTCTATTGTAGGTACGATAACCCTTATTAAAAGGCAAGAAGGTAAGCGCGAGTTGGGTTCGCCAAGGCTGGGTGTTTGTGGTGACTTCTGCCAATTACGAACCTATACGGCAATCCAGATCCCCTGGCTGCTTAGAACGCGAGCGAACATACGGTAACGCCTTCGTAGCTTAGAACGAGACAACATTAGACCCGCAGGTAAACAGATTGTCGATGAATGGAATCGAGAGTGAGAATACGCCTCGCTCGTCTCGGTTGTCATAGGACGGCTGCAGGAAAGGACAAATGAAGCGAGTGCGATAACATGATGTACCATATGCTACCTGTCTATGGCGCTGTGTCCCGCTTCGAGGAATCCCGCAGACTCTACCTAGATATTCTGCCCTGTCATGCTAGCAGGCATTGTATCCCAACGGTCCAACAACGGCCACCAATGATGCCTGTAGCGTTGTGATGACTCCGTGAGAACATCACCACCACTGTACTCGGTACCTCGTAGATGCATCTCCGGTGGTTCTCCGTCTAATCCAACCTTCCTCAACCCTCCCACCACCAGCAACTATGCCTCCCATCAAGCTGGACACTTGGGACCTCATCTTAGGATTCGCCATTATTATCGCTCTCTATTTGGCCATCGCCTTTCCTTTTCTATGGTGTACATGGGGTTGTCTACGAATTCTGCTGTGGGCTTTAAATCAGATGTGAAGGTACGTTCGAATCATGTCAATGTCGAACCAGTGATGCAACTTAATCCACAGCAATGCCTTATGGTGTCTGGAGTTGGCGAGATCCTCTTTGAAGAAGAAGTGGGAAATGCTTTTGTTGTACCTCCTCGGTATCCAACACCCTGCATGACTGTTAATACTGCGCCACCGTACGTTGGACCCTCTGCAATACGGAATGCAACACGGCGATGCATGGATGGCAGTAGACCTCGGTCCATGGTCCATGGTCTCCCACGACCGAAGCTTCATTCGTCCTGTGTAGCAATGGTCCATCGCAGACATTGATTCTATAGCCCACATCAAGATGACTGACCAACCGCTGTCTAGCAGCATCTCTCCTCCGCCTGCGTCTGTGCCTGCTCCTCGTTCAGCCTCCATGGAATACCCATTCGCAACCTCGCCCGACATCCTTCGGACGCATCAGAAAGACGCCTACATCACCGGGAGTATCTCTTCACAAGCCTCCACGATCCTGCGCGCCCTTCTCGGAGCTCGTTTCGCACACAAATACTCCGAAGCCACGAATCACCTCTCGGAGCTTCTCTACCTCTGCATCACAACGCTTCTGGGGAATAGGACACTGGGCGAAGAGTACTGCGACGTGATCCAGGTCGAGGACGACACGTTGAGACTTGCCGGACTGGGCAGAAGGGTCGGATACATCGCCAGCGTGGTGTTTGCGCCCTGGATTCTGGGCAAATCTCTGCCGGCACTCAGAAGGAGGTTGAGGAGCAAACTTGAATGGAACATTGAACATGCAAAGCAGAAAGACCGCCATCGCAGACATCCCACCTCAGCCAGAAGCCTTAAACTGCAAGAATACATCCTTAAACACCTCGACACCCTAACCTCCCCGCAACCCATCTACGCCCTCAGTCTCGCCATCTTCTACTTCACAGGCGCCTATTACCACATCGCCAAGCGGCTCTTCGGGCTGCGTTATGTCTTCACCAAACAAATCAAACCAAATGAAGAGCGAGTCGGCTACGAAGTCCTCGGCGTCCTCCTCGTCCTGCAAATGGCCGTGCAGTCAGCTCTGCACATCCGAGAAACGTACGTGGAGGCGACCACGACCGCTTCGACCACGACGGGGGAAGGAACAAAGGAGGAGGCCATCACCGCTGCAATGCTCGCCAACGGCGTCGAGATCCCCATCCCGTCAAGCCTCGAAACCTCTTCGACGGGTGGCCACCTCCTCTCCGCCGTCTCGATGCCATCCTCCCTCCCGCCGGGCCTGGGGGCCAACACGGCGACGCCGATCCTAGACACTCCGCGCTACGCGCTCGAGGACCACGACGAGACCATGGCCTGGATCCCCGCCGGCCACCAGCGCAAGTGCACGCTGTGCCTCGAACCGTTCCGCGACCCCAGCGTGACCACCTGCGGACACGTCTTTTGCTGGACCTGCGTGCAGGACTGGGTCAAGGAGAAGGCAGAATGCCCCTTGTGCAGACAGAGCGTGCTGAGCCAAAAGGTATTGCCACTGAGGGGATGAAAGGTTGATTATCCTTGTCCTCGTTTACTCCGTAGGTAGTAAAGTCAAGACGACGGTGAATAGAGAATACGACATTGTGGACTTGGAGTTCCGTCCGTCCATCCATTCTTTCATGCAGGGGGCGATCTCGTCGCGTCGACAGGCACGACGGATGCACCTTCAAGTGCAAACCATCATATTCTCTACCTTGTGTGTTTTGTGTACTTCTTCCATGACCAAACCAACCCGGTACATCCATTTCCCACCCCTACGCCGAGTTTCGCTATGATCAACAACCGTCCTTCAGGGAAGGCGGCTATAAATGCTCCTGGTCCAGAGAGGTTTTCTATGTATCTTGGGTGATGATATTAAGCCAGTGCGAGAGCACCTTCCTTCTTCCCTATGCGAGGACTGCTCTCAGCATCATCCTCGCCTTCATCGCTAATGAGCCCTTCGAGCTCAAACTCCTCCGCATCGCGCACTTGCTGGCTGGCTGTGCCTCTGTGCCGGGGCAATCTCGCGCTCCCGTTCGCGGTGCCATTGGTCGTGCCTCCGTTCATGCCCATACTCGCGAGAGTGGACATTTTCCTCGTGTGGTGCCCATCGGGACCGCTGGGCCCGGCAACAATGCTGAGATCCCTCCCAGAACCTGAACTGCTTTGGCCATAGGAAGAGCGAAGCCCGTTGCTCTCGTCATCGGGCCATGCGTGGCTCGCGTACACGAACAGCAGGATATTCACAAACAAGTACAGCAAGAAGGCGATGCTGTAGAGGATCAGGATGTAGGAGACGTGCGTCACTTGGGCGTCAGAGAGAAGGTGCATTTGTTCCTCGGTCGCGCCCATGAACAGGAAGCCCGAGGCATAGAGGAGCTGTGCACCAAAGGTTGTCAGTAGACCAAAACGCAATGAAGAGAGACATGATGAAGCTCACAAATGGAGGCAAGTGCTGCCAACTGTTGACCTCGCCCGCGCCACGGCTGTCCTTGAGCAAGAAGGAAATCTCAATAATTCTCGCGGCGCCTGCAGCCATCAAGGTGTATCCAAACACGGTATGCACCATCGTGCTCAGAGGCAGATCCTGGGGATGGGCACTCATGGCCCAACCTGTGAGGAGGATCACCAGACCGGGGAGGATGTTCCTTTTGGGTCTTCCATTTCTCGATCTCGATAACCAAACACCAAGCAGTCCAGCACACCACCAAACGATGCCCATACTCGTATGCTGCAGATCGTTCTTGACCCACGGATGACCCCAACGGTGCTCGGTAAACGTATTGACACATCCCCATGCCGCAATCACGCAACTGTCGAAGAATTCCTGGCTCCGGCCGGTCCTTCTCAGCCACGCTTGACCCACGAGCAAGAGGACAGTCATGATGACCCCGTACGCAATGAACGCTGACCCCATGATGAAATGCGCCAGACATTGCCCCAAATGGTCACCGCGGCAGTAGCCCATCGCGACAATCCCTCCGAAGAGCATCTGTGCCCAGGCGACAATGGGCATGATCTTTCCCAACCAGCCATGAATCAAGACCACGCCCCTCCTCCCTCCTCTCCCAAGTTTCCCTCCAAATACCCGCCCAACCCATCCCTTCTTCTCCTCCAGATGTAACTTCAACCCTACACCTAACCCGACCTGAATGATAAGCATCAACACCAAGCTGTTGGCAAAACTCGCGTGAATGTTCGGGTGTCGAAATTGTCTCCCCTTATGCATATGTCCCAAGAAGTACGCCACAGTTGCGATCACCGTGCCAACAATCTGTAGAGGGACATGCCAACGACTCTTGACGATGCCCAACACCATGCCGTAAGGAAAGATCATGCCGAAGGAGAGGATCATGAGCAGGATGTGAATCCATAGCCGACTATCCAGGGGATCGGGAGAGACGGCCTCTCCTTCAGGGATTTTGTCCGTATGGCCGCCATGAGCTGATGCAGGCGTAGCGATGAAGAGGAGAGGGAAGAGGTAGAGGAGAGGAGTCGGTTGCTGGCTTCTTCGTAGGGGGGGCGGAAGAGACATAGTGACGATACTGTGGGATGAGGACTTAAAAGACTCTCAATGACTTTGACGCGCCTGCCAGCTATCGGCTGAAGTACATTGTACAAGTATGCTAGACTAGCGAGAGGACGATTGATGGCGGCGATGGAGTAACCGTCTGGTGATAATTACTAGGTATCTTCAAGCCATCGCCTGCGCTACATGCGCAATCGACGTCTCGGAGAAAGAAGTTGCATCCCCACAACTGGCCGGTAATGCCGGTCGATCACGCTACTTGCTCTCCTCTCCATTTTTGGATTGCGACGAATGCAGTTTACTTCCATCTCATGAATATACGGAATACCACCGTGGCAGATGAGGCTCGGGCCTGACCTCAGAGCATGAAACGGACCGGGATACTGTGCAACCGCTTGTGCGCTAAAGATACCGTCAATCCATACTATGTAAGCTATACATCCGTCTGCGACAGACGCCGACTCGAACTCCACGCCTCTGACTCCGACATTGCAGGACCATCACAGTCATGCTCGCTTGTCGACGTTGAAGTTCTCAATATCACAAAGAGGTTCTGGTTCTCCGCATGTTGAGCAGAAGAGGAACTGCATGCTGCAGATCGTTTCCAGCTTTTCGCAGTCCTTCTTGTCCGTCCTTCCAGAGTTCATGCACTCTAAGGCATCTTGCTCACATTGGGTGTTGCTTCTAAAGCATTCGACCTTGGTGTGGAATCTCCGTACTTCCCCACAGAAATCTCTACCTGAGACAACACAGCCCCTCTTCGATCTTGAGGCGACGCTGATCCAAGCAGGATCCCGATACCAGCGTTCAGATTCATCAGCGAGACATTCTCCGACCGTCACAGCTATCAACCAGTCAGCAACTGTTTCCAACGAAGAGAGTAGAGCGGGCAGGTACCTTTCCATCCTCTCTGGGAGATCGTGTCTAGAACATGTTTTGTAAGATTGATGGCTGAATTGCGAATGGTATCGTGCTGGATCAGCAACATCCTGCCCTCTTGCACATCCGTGCTCTGGAAGGCACGGTCAACTCTCTCGGTCATTGCAGTGAGATTGTTGGGGTCCATCCAGTCGCCACTGTCAAATGCATATGAAATGACATGGTATCCAAGGTCTCTCATGTCACTCAGACAACCACTCTGATTGCTACAATGGAGGTAAGGCGGCCGCATGTATGTTGGGTATTTGCCCAGGATATTGGCTAGAGCTCTTTCGTTTTTGGCCATATCAAGTCGGCGATCTTGCGAGCCCATCTCGTCCATGTCCGGATGAGACCAGGTATGAGAAGCAACTTGGTGGCCATCCTCGACCATACGTTTGATCACATCGGTCCATTTGGACGTGGTGTCTATGGGACCCTTGCCGTTGCTATTCCCTGCAATGAAGAAGGTCGCCTTTGCACCAGCTTCGTCGAGAATGTTCAGCAGTTCCTCGGTGTTCTCCGATGGACCGTCGTCGTATGTAAGAGCAATAGTTCGGGGAATGTAGCAGTTGCTGATGAATTGTCCGTATTCGATCTGGCCCTTTTCTCGTCTTGGATCCACTGACATATTGTACCCTGCCGGAGTGGTGTCAGAATCACAAATGCCAAAGTCTTCTTGGCAATTCCCAGGAACAGAACAGAAATCGGCGCCGGTTCCCTGCACTACGTCAGCTAGGCAAACAGTCTGCCAAAGAATAGCCACTGACACAAAAATCAGCATGAGAGCAACACTGAGGGAACGGACACGTTTTGTTGCCGTGCGTTAATCCGCACCTCCCTTGAAGACAGGTCCCAAAAGCTGCTTGGCACCCTTCGCCACAGAAGTCGTTGGATATGCCCTACTTCAGTCAGTATCCCGCCGTTGCTCTTTTCGACAGCACTGACGCATAAACCATCTGAAGAACAACATTCTCCGCTGCTGCAACGTTGTCCATTATAGTTGGGACCACAGTACTTGACAATAGGAGGATGGTCTGTGGCATCTTCGACATCACATATGCTGTGGCAACGTTAGACACTTCGTGCGAGTGTTGTCCTTCTGCAAACTTGCCCGTATTCCCTTTGACAACCTTTACCGCAGTAAAGCTCCCCGTCACCTGTGGGATGTATCAGTTGGCGGTCTGAGCCATTTGAAACGAGAGTTGGTACCGCAGAAGCCCTGTCATTATTAGCACAAGTCTGGGAACAGTATTTCGATCAACAAACATCCGATGAGCAGCAATAGCCACTGCCATCGCCATCTGGAGGGCACGCCGTTCCAGTCATATTTCCACAAGCGATGAGCTCCGCTTGCTCTTCCTCGGCATCGAACAGTGCAGATAGCTCGTCGTTAGAGCCAAGGTCGGAGGAGGTCAGAGAATCAATGGGAGGTGCCGCCGTAGCTGAGGCCAGATAAACTAATGCGTGATGGGCAGCAAGCAGAATGAATCGAGGCTTCATGACGACCAGAAGCTTCCTTGAGTTGGATGGCAGGCGATCGGTTTGAAGCGAGAAGAGTCAAAACCCCGAGAACAGTAATCTGTATGCTATAATGAATGCAGCCGTATCAATGCAGGCAAGATCGGAAAACTTCAAAACGAAGGGTGACCTGTGCAATGATGGTGTAGGTTGGAATGGAGGGAGAAACAGGAAGAAAGAGGTTGAATGAACTTTCCGGTGAAAAGCACAAGTCGAAGGCTTGAGGCAGCCACTCATCAAGGATCATTGCTTGCAATCGGCAGCAACCACTGACATCAAACTCACCAGAATAGCAGCGTAACGGCAGGAGCACACATAACGACTTCCCTCCAAGTCTGCCGATGTGGTCGAAAGCGGTGTCCTCATCCCCTTCAAGCCGGGTAACCGGTAGATAGCTAAGTGAAGCAGCAAAGTGGATCTAAAGATCACGCAACCATTAATTTATTTTTTGAATCCATCTAGTCCTGCCTGTTCATTGAAAAGATCCTGGTATATCGTTAGGGTTCCCCTTTGACTCTTCAGTGGGCGTCACGGGTACAGAATGAAAAGAAGAGTCAGCGGCTTCATGTGTGGATGACGGCGTCAGAACATGGCCCCCTTCGTGCCTTTGTTCAGCATCGCCATTCAAATCGATCTTGTCAAAGCCGTCCACAGGCGTCTGTGTTTCCGAAGTCGGAGATGTCACCCGGCCGGGATTCCGCGGCGGCAATGCTGGAGGAACACGTTTAGGAACTTCGACCACTCTCGCTCGAGCCATGACTGGTACCGCCGTCGAGACCTCGACATCAGAATCTACATCTGAAAACGATTCTCTCCGTTCCTGTCGTTGTTCGCCCGTGTCATCCACGAGTTGGCGGTGTTTCTTCGGTTGGTCGAGTCCCCTTAGCGAGTCCCTTCGAGGACTGTTTCCGGCACTCTTCGTCTCATCCTCGTCCGTTTGAGTACCTCGATCGACACTAGCAAGGCTGTGAGTGCTTTCTCTCCAAGTCCGAGAACGAATTGAGCCATCGACGCTTCTGCGGGAGAAATGGGAGTAGATTGGACTGGTCGGAGATGGCTTGAATTCAAATGCATCAGCACTCGGCCTTTGGTGCGTTCCAGCCTCTCGGATATTCAATCCCTCAGCTTCCAGGGCTTTCACTCCATAGGGATCTGGATCGTCCTCTGCCGGAATTCCAAAAATAGCCCCTCCTGTGGCCAGTCAGTCATGGGACCAAAACGCATTCGCACACTCTCACCTGGTGGAATGATCTCCATATCACTCGGAGCTGGCGCGTCGGGCAGCAAACTGTCATCCACTTGGTCGCCTTGCGCCGCCCTCAGGGTGTCTAGAAGGACCTGGTACTTCTCGACTGGCGGATATCGAACCTTTCCGACCAGAATGTCTGTGACGGTGACTTGTTCACCGTAAAATCTTGCATTTTCATCAGTCCTTTCAATGACAAGATTCCCTTCCAGTGCGACTCCAGCATAAAGACCGCGGCTCTTGACGTATGACCAAATAGGGGCCTGGCGTTTTGTCACTTCGGTATCGAGCGCGCCGCCGATTCCCACAGGGCCGGCTGCAACCCCGACCTCGGTTCCCAAGGTAGTCCTCCATTTCGTGAAAGCTCCAAGAGCTTCGTACGTGTTAATGACCAGGACTGTATCATATATGTCGACTCCTGCGAGAAAGCCAAATGACAGATTTTGAGTCTGGATGCCACTGGGCGGACTCCATTCTCCCGTCTCTGGATGTCTTCCGACAATTACGCCAGCGCCTCCGGAGCCCCCAAAAAGCCAGCCGGTTCGCATGGTTGTGAATATGGCTAGGCCAACAGCATTTTTGATGACACTGGCTGGGATCTTTTTTATTACCCTCTGTTTGCCTTGCGGAACACCCACGGTCGTTGCACTCCGGGTTTCCACCTTCTGGGCCTCTTTCTCTTCTATCTGCTCATAGAATCCGTCTTTGCAAAAGCCACGCAGGATACGAGCCGCCTTTTCAGACTCCTTATCCATCGTGGTGGGCCAGAATGCCTCGGAGCCGATCTTATTTGACAAGCGGTTGACAGGGGCACCCAGCTTGTCCACGACCTTGTAGGCTTTGTTGAAGCCTGGTTTGAGGGCTTTCTCGTAGGCTGTATTGGAGTACCCTTTGGTTCTTTCCCATAATGTCGAATTACCAGAAGACGTCTTGGTCGAAGTGGTAGTGGTGGTCGTGTCCAAGGCTGCACCCTCCGCCGGTTGCGCCATGGCACGCAATCTGATTCTGCGGACAGACGGGGTTTGGGGAGGTAGCCGTTTGGTGGATAGGGTAGTGAGCGATTCACACGATATGCTCTCACGGCGAGCTGGTCCCTGGCAGGAGAAGTTTCAGTGATCGCGAGGAAGGAATCTGAGATGTTTTTGTTCAGTTGCACGCAGTCGACCTTGAAGTCTCGACGACTATTTGGGCAGTTTAACAAGCCAGTAATCCGGTTGCTGCCGGAGTTCACGACTGAAGCTTGCGATAAAAGGCCCTAGTTAGACGTCATTGGCCTCAGGCGCGCAGGTGGCGGCAGAGGCATATCTTAGTCAGGATGGATGCCTCTGGCGGTGCTGGCAATTGCAGGCATTCCGAATACCCAAGGCTGCTCCGAGGGGGGAAGAGGGGGGAGTCGGAGAGCCCAATGTTCCACAAAGGCCTCGAGTGAGGTTTAGCAATTACTGTAAATTGCCTTGTCAGACTGCGGCAATATCATTGACTCGACTCTCGACAGACTTGGCAGCGAGAGCTTGAGGGGATCTTGGGGGATCCTAGGGCATCCCAGGTCATCCTTTCGAAATTGAGGTCACGGTCAACTCAATTCCAACTCATCTATCAGTCTCCATTCAGTCCGATGTTTTGACGTTTCTAGCATTCAATACTACTTGGCACTAGAAAGACTCTCCTGAGAAACAAAGAGAGCGGCTTCTGCACCTCGGCTAGTAAAGGTAATCAGAAAATCGATCTCCGACTAATCACATGTGACTTCGCCCACTCAGCGAGCCAGCAAGACAGATATATTCAAGTTTGTCTTCCATCGGTTGTTTGATTATTCCTGGAACCTGCAGTATATAACAGGGCCATCAATTCTCTGCGCATAAAAGCAGCGGACAATAAACCATGCCGCCAATTTCACCCCTTTTTGTGCTCCAAATCCCGCCGACGTTGAACACTGGTTCCTCCGCTCAAGGCGAGCAAGGAAGCTTCATATGCACACAGGCCGCTCCCCAAGTCTACCTCCTGTCATTCTCCAGTCCGCCCGATAACCGCCTCACACCGGCTTTCAATCAGACATTCTTACTGGCGCTTGATATTATCGAACATCGTCTTCCCCGTGGAGTGGTCATCACCACTTCGTCCATCACCAAATTCTACTCCAATGGCCTCGACTTCGAGAATGCCATCAGAGATCCGACCTTCTTCCCAAACAGCCTTTACCCTTTGTGGCGGCGCCTGGTCACTTATCCAATGCCGACAGTAGCATTGTTAAACGGCCATGCCTTTGCAGGTGGCCTGATGACTGCCATGATGCACGATTATCGCATCATGAACCCTCACAAGGGCTTCTTGTGCCTCAACGAGCTGGACTTCGGCGCGGCTCTTCAACCAGCTATGGCAACAGTATTTCGTGTCAAGTTGAACATGACAACATTCAGGAATATGGTCCTGGAGAGCAGGAGATTCCCAGCCCTAGAAGCCTTGAAAGAGGGCATCATTGACGGCGTTGGGGGTGTCGAGGAGACGCTTGCCTTCATTTCAGAGATGAAGCTGACCCAAAAGGCTCAAGGAAAGTCATACGGCCAGATCAAGGAGGAACTCTACCGGGAGATAGTCAAGGACTTGGACGAGGGAGCCGAAGCCCGTGCGAAGCTAGCCGCCAGAGATCTGGATCGAAGTCGTCGGGCACTAGAGTCGAAGAAAAGAGTTGAAGTCTATCAGGCGGTGGTCCAGAGGGCGAAGCTCTGATGGTGATGGGTAGGCGTAGACCACAAACAATTCCGACACGAGGTGGTTCAGTCCAACCGCGTATATGGCAGACGGCGGAAATAGCGACCGTATCAGTCCTGTAGATGCATTTTGCTTCCAGGCTGCAGTGACTCACCAGCGGAGGGGACTTACTGGTTGGGTTGCTTGATGGAGGACGCGTATCCGTATTTGCAGTTCATCGGGCTCTTTGCGAGGATACGGAGTACACTTCTCGATGGAGGTAATCTTGGAACGAGTTAGCACCAAATTCTAGTCATCAGTAACCAGCCTTCTCTGCGCTACCTACTCTATAACTACCTTAGTAAGGACCCAGGTACCGGGAATACTCTCGTAGGTTAGACAGGACCTAGATACTACATGCGTACGGAGTGTGTGAATGCCTAGGTACATTTGCCTATTGGGGACACTACGTAAATGATGCAGCTGCACAAAGTGGCTTTTTATGAACCGTTATGCAATAAGCAGGAAACCGGGCGGCAATTGATTAACCGTGAGAGGTAAAGAACGCGGAATACGAACCTCTGGATCAAGTGTGGCAAGCGAGGCTCCCCACGTTTTTACCTTGTTAAGGAGTTTTGAACAAACCTAGAGCCTAGGCTCTAGGGAGAGACCGCCTGTGGCGTAATCTTCCACGCGTCAAGTCCATTATGCTTCGGGGGGCTCCCGCAAGTACCTATGGCCAATTCGCACGCGATGGCGGCTCCCAGATCCACCCTTACTGTCACCCCGTCACCCGCTGTCACCCACTCTTGTGATTCCCTCCCCCCAGTGGGCCAATAAGCCTGAAGCCAACTGCCATTATTTTGGTTCCAAAGTCCGCCATCTCCAAACTGCAACTCCGATTCAAACCTCTTCGATCCCTTTTTCATTGTTTTCGGGCCCGAGATTCTGTCCTGTTGCCTGCTTGCCCTGCACATATATTATCGTCACTTTGCATCTCGGCCGTCCTCTCTCTAATGGCTCTCCTTCCTTAGTCTCTTGCACATTATAAAATAAACAGAACCGTAGCTGTCCGCAGCCTGAACTCTTCAAGTCTCCGTTTCAGTCACTCCACTACGTACTCGTATTCACGTATTCACGGCCGCGAACTCCCCGTCGCATATTTTTGTTATTGTTCAGCTCCCTTCGCTCACCATGCCCCGCTAGCTGTCGCTCGAAGAATCTTCATACGGTGTGGCGGGAAGGTATCAACATGAATCCCGCAGGTCAGGGCGAATTACCTGGCGCCGCCGCGGCCATTGAAGAAAACCTCGAGGAGAAGGAAAGATCGCAAGTGGGAATCGTCACAGACCAGCAAAAGGACACCGAACGCTTCTCTGAGAAAAGCCCTGCCTCTCCCGTCGGCCCTTCTACGCCTGTCTCTGGCCACACCAAATTTCCCACTGCTGCCGTGTCGCCTACATCGCCTACGTCTCAATCCTCCGAATCAGACAATCGTCCGGACCTCTCCAAATTGGACTCCAAGATTGTGAAGGTTCGAGATGTACCAGAGGGCGATGCTGCATTGGCTCACTTACCAGACCATGAAAAAGCGGTCCTGAAAAAACAGTTGGATGTCCCAGACGTGAAAGTCACTTATTGGACGCTATACCGCTATGCAACTACTTGGGACAAGGTCTTCATTGCCATAGCATGCCTCTGTGCAATCGGCGCAGGTGCCGTCATGCCTCTGATGACCGTGGTCTTCGGCAATCTCAGCGGTACTTTTCAAGGACTGGTACTAAATAATCTCTCCTCAAGTTTCAATTCCACCCTGACGCGATATGTCCTCTACTTTGTTTACTTGGCTATTGGAGAATTCTTCCTGGTCTACATATCAACCGTGCTCTTCATATATACTGGCGAACACATTACCTCAAAGGTCCGAGAGCAATATCTTAGGGCGATCTTGCGACAGAACATCGGATTTTTCGACAAATTGGGGGCTGGTGAAGTCACCACCCGTATCACCGCCGATACAAATCTCGTCCAAGAGGCCATCAGTGAAAAGGTCGGTCTGACCCTGACTGGTGTCGCCACGTTCTTCTCCGCATTCGTTATCGGTTTCGTCAAATTTTGGAAACTCACGTTGATCTGCTCGTCCACCGTCGTCGCCATTGTGCTGGTCATGGGCTCTGGAGGCAAAAATATGGCCGCATGGAACAAGCAATCTCTAGCAGCATATGCCATCGGAGGCTCGGTTGCGGAAGAAGTCCTGGCCTCGATAAGAAATGCGGTCGCCTTCGGCACCCAAGACAAGCTCGCGAAGCAGTACAACGTCCATCTCCTGGAAGCCCGACGGTGGGGAATACGAAGCAAGAGCGCACTGGGCTGCATGATTGGTGGCATGCTCTGTATCCTTTTCTTGAACTACGGCCTTGCTTTCTGGATGGGTTCGCGATTCTTGGTCGACGGTGAAACCACGCTTGCCCATATCTTGACCATTATTTTCGCTGTTATGATCGGTGCTTTTTCTTTCGGCAACGTCGGCCCACATATGCAACATTTTGCTGCTGGCGTCGGTGCCGCGGCAAAGATATATTCAACGATCGACCGGGTATCCCCAATAGATCCTCTTTCTGAAGATGGCGAAAAGTTGGATCAACTTGAGGGGACTCTTGAATTGCGAGATATCAGGCATATCTACCCCTCGCGACCCGAAGTGGTGGTCATGGAAGACGTCAATCTAGTCATACCCGCAGGCAAGACAACTGCTCTTGTCGGAGCTTCTGGCTCTGGTAAGTCCACCATTGTTGGGTTGGTAGAGCGTTTCTACGATCCCGTGGGTGGCGTGGTCTTACTCGACGGGCACGACATCAGCAAGCTTAACCTCCACTGGCTACGACAGCAGATTGCCCTTGTCCAGCAGGAGCCCATTCTCTTCAGCCAGACCATCAAAGAAAATATCCGAAATGGCCTTGTCGGTTCCAAGTACGAAAACGAGTCAGAAGATCAACAAACACAACGGATCATCGATGCTGCGAAAATGGCAAACGCTCACGATTTTATTTGTTCACTTCCTGACGGTTACGAGACTCACGTCGGCGAACGCGGCTTTCTTTTGTCTGGCGGTCAAAAGCAACGAGTCGCCATTGCGAGAGCCATTGTCAGCGATCCAAAAATCTTATTATTGGATGAGGCCACTTCAGCTTTGGATTCCAGGAGTGAAGTCTCTGTGCAGCATGCCTTGGATACCGCATCGAAGGGCAGAACTACTATTGCAATCGCTCACCGTTTGTCAACCATCAAAACTGCGGACAACATTGTGGTCATGCAGGAAGGACGCATTATTGAGCAGGGCACTCATGATGAGCTACTAGACCGGAAACAGGCTTACTTCAACCTAGTATCTGCTCAGCGAATCGGCAATAAGGAGGACGAGCTCGAGAAAGAGACCGAAGCCAGCGACGAAGCAGAACTCACCAAGATCCAATCGACCAGATCTGGCAGTGCCGGAATGGTAGATCCTGATGACGAGAAACTTGCATTAGGCAGGACGCGAAGTGGGAAGTCCGTGTCTTCCAACATTCTTGCTGAGAAGAAGGCGCAGAAGGAAGCTCACTATTCTCTGTGGACCCTGATTACATTCATCGCACGATTCAACCAAAGAGAATGGTGGATTATGTGCATCGGATTCGTCTTCACAGCGATTGCAGGAGCCGCGCAGCCCGTCCAAGGCGTCTTCTTCGCCAAATGTATCGTTGCTTTGTCTCAACCACTTGTTTTCCGACATCAGATTCGTCACGATGTTGACTTCTGGTCGTTGATGTATTTGATGCTGGCATTTGTGGATCTCTTTGCAATGTGCATACAAGGAATCGCCTTTGCCTATTGCAGTGAGAGCTTGATTCAGCGCGCCCGAGACGGCGCATTCAGAAGATTTTTGAGGCAAGACATTGCCTTTTTTGACGAAGACGAAAACTCTACAGGCGCCCTTACGTCTTTCTTGTCAACGGAGACCACCCACCTTGCGTCAATCTCTGGGTCGACCCTGGGGACCCTCATAAGTTGTTCATCCACTTTGATCGTTGCGATTGTGGTCGCACTCGCGATCGGGTGGAAGTTGGCACTTGTCTGCATGACCGCTTTGCCCGTTATCCTCGGGACGGGCTTCGTCAGGTTTTGGGTCCTCGCAAAATTCAGCGCAGCAAATCGAAAGCACTACGAAAAGTCTGCAGGATATGCCTGTGAACACACAAATGCCATCCGGACGGTCGCGTCTTTGACCACGGAGCGCGAGATTTACGGCGAATACAAGCACCAGCTTCGAGCTCAGTTACGCGACTCTCTCAAGTCGAATCTGAAGCACGCCTCCCTGTACGCCGCATCGCAGTCCGCCATGTTCCTGGCATTCGCTCTCGGCTTTTGGTATGGAGGCAAACTTTTGGTCCGAGGGGAATACACTTTGTTCCAGTTTTTCATTGTCTTCTCCGAAATCATCTTCGGTGCACAATCTGCAGGAACTGTCTTCTCGTTTGCTGGAGACATGTCCAAGGCAAAAAATTCAGCTGCTGAGTTAAAGAAACTTTATGACCGTCAGCCTTCCATTGACGCGTGGTCGGAAGACGGCGCGCCCATTACCCAAATGGAAGGAACCATTGAATTCCGAGACGTGCATTTCCGATATCCCACACGACCCGAGGTCCCCGTCCTCCGAGGGCTAAACCTGACCGTCAAACCTGGACAGTATATAGCCCTTGTTGGCGCGTCCGGATGTGGCAAGTCGACGACTATCGCATTGTTGGAGCGCTTTTATGACCCGGTTGCGGGTGGTATTTATGTTGACGGCAAAGAAATTTCAAGCCTCAACCTCAATGATTACCGTTCTCACCTTGCTCTGGTGTCCCAAGAGCCCACACTCTACCAGGGCACCATTAAAGACAACGTCCTCCTCGGTGTTGACAGAGGTCAAGTCAGCGACGAGCAGGTCATCCGAGCCTGTAAGGACGCTAACATCTATGACTTCATCATGTCTCTGCCAGACGGCTTCGCCACAGACGTTGGGAGCAAAGCCGCCTTACTCTCTGGCGGCCAGAAGCAGCGCATCGCCATTGCCCGCGCCTTGCTTCGTGACCCCAAAATCCTCCTGCTGGACGAGGCCACAAGCGCTTTGGATTCAAAAGCCGAGCGGCAAGTTCAACACGCTTTGGATGCTGCAGCGAAGGGGAGAACAACTGTTGTGGTAGCGCATAGGCTGAGCACGATTCAGAAAGCGGATATCATTTATGTGTTGGATAAAGGCGTTATTATAGAGCGAGGGACACACCAGGAACTGATGGCTCTCCAGGGGGGAAGATATAGAGAGTTAGTGGGCCTTCAGAGTCTAGGAAAGTAGCGGTGATTCATTGGAGCTGCTTGATCTCATTCTGGTTTGGTTTGTTGGGATAACTTTGGGACAGCAAGCATTCGGTGTCCATTTCTGCTTTAGGGACTATCTGTATAGGCACCTCACTCCCGTCCTACGGATATTGTTATTACCAGACGTACATAGCTCGTTCATGGAGTGTGAGGCTGAAGGAGACAGTAGATACGCTGCATCCAATGTAGCCTTGGAGGGTTTGACGATAACCAAATGGTCGCTATGTCACATGCAACTATTTCTCTAGACGAGGAGAAGGCATCACCATTTCTAAAGGCAAGCGAACGCTCGTCGAAAATGGCCGTCACCTTTGATCTATTAATAATAGCAAATGACTCTTTGCTTTGCTGCCCATGGTCTTGTCAGGACATCAATTAATTTTGAAAATGTCTCGTTAGCTGCCAGTCATTCTTCCAGATGCACCTTGTTTTCCTCTGTTGTCGTTGATGGTCTTTGATTCTCCTCGATGAATTTAATCGCGCTCGTCTACCCCCCGCTCGTCCATCACGTCCTTTAATCTCCGACCTTCCCTTTCCGCGATGAGGTCTAACATTCCCATGGCGATGTCCTTGATTTCGTTATATGATTTCAGAAGTGATATGTGCCTATTGATGATAGATTGAGCGTGAGAGAGGGCCACTTTCTCGGTTTCTCCAGAGATTGACCCGGTAAGAGAGGATCCTTGTTGATCGGGAGCTGTTACTGGCGCCGAGTCTTGTGGTGAGGAGCACAAAACTGGTTCTGTGCTGTTGTAGGAGTTTGATCTGGGAAAAGACTTCAGCTGCGTGATTTCGCGGAGCTTCGATGATAGTTGGGCTTCTGTGGTGGAGATGTTGGATTTCAAAGTCTCAATGGAGGCGAGGAGCTTGCGTTGTCTTACTCTGGAAGCCGGTTCTGGACTTCGACTTGATTGTAACGGTGAGGTAGGATCCGTCGTGGTGGATTGGACCCCGGCCTTTGGTGGCTGAGAGCTTCGACTTCGGTCATGGGTTGAATCGGGAAGCTGTGGAACCAGCGATTGACTCCCCAAAGACGCGTTGTCCTCCATCTCCCGAAATCCTCTAGAATCTTGATGTGAAGATTTATGTTTTCGCCGAATGTCTCGTCCTTTTGTCGAATGCACTCAGAATTCCCATCTTACAGTGCTCTGAGACGGGCTTGGACGGGACTAGAAGACTTTGGTGTGCTTGGACTTGCATGAGTGTCTGGTTCATCACATCCTGTAGACCCACAAGACAAAGACAACGTCTCGGTAGTTGCAATTAGATTGCCCTCCTTCCATCTGTAAAGCAGGGCGACGACAAAATAAAACGAGGGGCATCAGCCTTGCGGAGGAACTCAAATGATACAGTCTGACCGGTCAAATTCTTGGAATTCACACGCAAACTAAAAGCATGGGGGACGTCAGACAAAACAATTTTCTTTTCAACTTTCTTCCCGCTGTCCAACTGCGCCTACCAAGAACAATTCTTTGCAGTTTCGTGCTCTGAACAAATTCTGATCCCCGAGTGAGCTGAGGACGCGCCGGCTTTAATGGAGACTCTCAAATCCCTATCATATCCTTGATCAGAAGGAAGTTCCGTTACCCCCAACGCGCCGCCATGTTCACGATCACTCCCTTGCTCGGGGCGCAGAGCACGTCCCGATCCTCGCAGTCAATCCTTGAGTTGGACGGTGGCATCAAGATTTTGGTGGACGTGGGATGGGACGAACGCTTTGATACTCGCCAGCTCGCCGAGATAGAGAAACATGCCTCTACTCTGTCATTCATCCTTCTCACGCATGCCACGACCTCTCATATTGGCGCCTTTGCGCACTGCTGCAAACACGTCCCAGTCTTCACCCAGATCCCTGTCTACGCTACACCGCCCGTCATTGCTTTTGGTCGCACTCTCCTCCAAGACCTCTACTCCTCTTCTCCGCTCGCGGCCACGTTCATTCCAGGCTCAGGATCCCCTGAAGATGCATCCAGCGTCGATGACAAGTCGCGTTCACACATCCTACGGCAGGCCCCGACGTTTGAAGAGATCAATAAATATTTTACTTTGATCACGCCGCTGAAGTACTCACAACCTCACCAACCTACACCTTCTCCTTTTTCCGCGCCGATCGAGGGTCTGACGTTGACAGCTTATAATTCTGGTCATACACTGGGAGGCACGATATGGCACATACAATATGGGATGGAGTCAATAGTGTACGCCGTGGATTGGAATCAAGCAAGAGAAAACGTTATAGCCGGTGCAGCCTGGTTTGGAGGTGTTGGCGGCGCCGAAGTCATCGAACAACTGCGCAAGCCTACTGCGCTCGTCTGCAGCAGCATTGGTGCAACAAGGGCCGCGCTGTCAGGTGGTCGAAAAGCTCGGGACGAATCTTTGTTAGCACATATCAAGATCTGTGTTGCCAAGGGTGGCACTGTTCTTATTCCCACCGACTCAAGCGCAAGAGTTTTGGAATTAGCTTGGATCCTTGAAAAGGCGTGGTCTGATCCCTCAAATGCCGCCTCCTTGAAAACTGCCAAAGTGTACCTAGCCAGCAGATCTGGCAATGCGACGCTGCGGCACGCCAGGAGTCTTCTCGAATGGATGGACGATAGTATTGTGCGAGAATTTGAGGCCGAGGACGAAAATCCGGCACCCGCGCAGACGCACAGGAGAAGTGGCAGCAAGCAGGTAAATGGGACAGCTAAACCCTCACGACCCTTTGAATTCCAAAATGTCAAGATTATCGAACGGAGAAGTCAACTGGAAAGGCTGTTAAAGGCCGAAGGGGCGAGAGTCATCCTTGCGAGCGATTTGACAATGGATTGGGGCTTTTCTAGATCACTATTGGAGCATGTGGTCCAAAGACCTGAGAATCTGGTGATTTTGACCGAACGCCTGTACATGCGTCCTGGATCGCAAAGCCCGAGTCAAGCATTCTGGACTTGGTACGAGGAGCGTCAGGATGGCGTTGCGCTCGAAAAAGGGGCCCCAACGGGAGAATGGCTGGAGCAGGTACAAAGTGGGGGGAGAATGCTGAAGCTGCGAAACGTAGAAAAGGCGCCATTGAACACGCAAGAGAATCAAAGATATCAACAATATATGGCCACTCAAAGACAGCTGCAAGATTCTCTGACTTCAGGCAACGAACGAGACCAGGCTGGTGCGGACGATAACATCGACGACGAATCCAGCTCGACTTCCTCGGATGAGTCAGACGACGAACAACAGGGTCGTGTTCTCAATGTTTCTGCCGCTCTTGGTCATGGAGCACGAAATAAACTGGCACTGAGCGATGCTGATCTAGGAGTCAATATCCTCGTGCGCAAGAAAGGCGTGTATGATTATGATGTACGGAATAAGAAGGGGCGAAATGGGCTCTTTCCATATACCCATTCGCGGAGGCGTGGAGACGAGTTCGGAGATTTCATCAAACCAGAAGATTTCTTGAGAGAGGAGGAGAAAGAAGACCAAGACGCCGCAACTGACTCCAAGGCTGGAGGTCAGCTCGGACAGAAGCGTAAGTGGGACGAGGCGAATGATACCAGGCAACCACATCACAAGAAGAATCGAACAGCTGCGCCCGCTCCAGCAACATCTGGTGAGTCCGGGGCGGATTCAGATGAAGAGAATTCCGACGAAGATGTCCAAGTCGAGCGTGAAGGCTTCCAGGGGCCCGCAAAAGTTGTGTATTCGACCTCGGAAATCACAGTCAACGCTAAGCTGGCCTTTGTCGACTTTGCTGGATTGCATGATCAACGCAGTCTGCAGATGCTGATACCTTTGATTGGGCCCAAAAAGTTGATCCTTATTGGCGGAAATAGGTCAGACACGGTTGCTCTGGCCAGTGATTGCAAGGAACTCCTGGGAATGAAAGTGGTAGGAGCAGAAGACGAACCATCCACGGAAATATTTACTCCTACAGAAGGCCAGACTGTTGATGCGAGTGTCGATACGAATGCGTGGGTTGTCAAGCTCAGTCGCAACCTGGCAAAAACACTCCATTGGCAGAATGTAAAGAATATCGGGGTGGTGACGATCCAGGGTCAACTCCAAGGCGCGCCCTCGGGAGACAATCTACAGGAGGATCCCCAGACCAAGAAGCAAAAGTTGGACACGGAAGCGGCTCGTGCAGCTGGCCCTACGCTCGCGCCTCCTGTCGAGCCGGTCCTCGATGTATTGCCTGCGAGCTTGGCGGCATCAACAAGATCCGTCTCCCACGCCATTCACGTCGGCGAACTGCGTCTAGCTGACCTGCGGAGATTGATAACACTGGATGGCCATGTTGCTGAATTCCGAGGCGAAGGTACACTGCTGGTTGATGGAATGATCGCAGTGAGGAAGCTCGGCACAGGAAAGATCATTTTGGAGGGGCTGCCAGTCAGTGCTACTTCGATGACTCCGAACAAGATGGATGATTTCACGCGTGTGAAGCAGAAAATCTACGACGGACTCGCTGTGGTTGCCGCAAATTGAGGCCGCGCTGTGGTGAAGAAAGCCACCGGTCAACCTTGGTTTGCAGTTCTTTCTAGTCATGTCTTGCTAATCCGGCACCACATAACCTCGATGGTCATCAGCTTTTTCCCTGTTTGCAAATCTGCGTCAGTCGCGATCCTGGTGCTTTGTCAAGGCCAAAGCATTGGTATACTTCAAACTATCTTGTTTGCTGAGCTTGTCAAGTTCCCAGTCATCGCCTCTCCTTCTGTCTTCTCTGTCACGGCAGGCAAGCCATCGATATGTTTTGGTGGCCCAGTCATGGCAATCGTCCTCTGTCCCAGCATGAAGCCACCAGTTCTTTGCTGGATTGTCAGTCGGAGCGTGATATTGAGGCAGAAGTGGTGACAAGAGGGTTTATGGCAACTCCTTTAAATATGCCCTGCTCGTACCTCGTTGCTTCGATTGCTACCGTTCAAACGGCATTTGATACTCGGTCCAGCCTGTTCACCCTATCTTTGGTTCAAAAGCATCAACTCGTTCTCGAGGGCCGCGACAATGGCGTGTCTACCACCTTCCTATTTTCCAGTTGCCATGTCAGCTCCAACACAAGGGCCGGGCCTGATTGGCAAAACCGTATACCATTACATGACCCGTGATGGAGGGCCACCAAACAAGGGTGCACCTCCCAGCGGCCCTCCGTCGTCAGCTCCTCCACCGTATTCTTTGATGCCTCCATGTCAAGGGCCATTCTGCTCTCCACCAAGTCAGCCTCATCCGGGTCCATTCTTCATCCCGCCAGGAAACGGACTCCCTGGAGCAGTGTGCGTGCCTAATGGGCCAGCACCTCCTGCTCCACCACCGCCTCCTCCCTCTGCGGGCGCATGGTATCAACCGCCAGCACCTCCTCCTCCGCCAGCATCAGGACCTCCTCCTCCTGCTCCTCCTCCTCCACCACCACCACCACCACCTCCAAGTGTTGCAGGAGCAGTGGCCCATGCTGCGTCCCAGGCACCAGAACCCCCAGTCAGTGGAAATCGTGTCAAAGATCGCCTTCTGGTCGTCAAGGACAGCGGAGGCCACGGGCACGTTGCGTCAAAGCACCTTGCAACGTTCCACCTTTTTACCTACAACGTCATAGACAAGTATTCGGTGAATGCTCACAACCAGTTTTACATTCCACCGCATGCGTGCGAGCCATTTCGTGTAATGACGGCAGCGTATTCCATGCCCATCGAGGAGCTCATTGAACAACTGGATTGCGTCAAGGTTGCGCCCCCAGTGTATCCGCGCTATGCAATCGGCCTTGCAGAGGCGTTTGATATTGGCAATGGATGGTTCCAGGTTGGCAGCAAGTTCCACCTGGACGAAGACAAGTCCAAGCAGACCATCCAGGAGGCCTGGAGTAGTAGTATTGGCGAGGCCGGCGAATCGCGACCCAAGTATCTCATCCGACTGCCAGGGAAGCGGCCTGGTCAATGAGGCCAACACCAACATTACTCGCTATTATCAACCATGATGCAAACCGTTGTCACGGCAAATAGTCAACACGCGGCCAGCCTGGTCGCAATTACCAAGGATTGGACGACATCGATGTGGGCGGACATTGGCGGCATCGGTCCTGAGCTTCGAC